ATCTGGCTGCTGCTCAGAGGGAGTCTGCTGTGACTCTGCCTACCCAGCTCTCCGAGTACGAGGCCTACCACGTCCTGCCATCTCTCTGATCATAAGAAAAATAAGGTTTCATGAGTCAAAATGGACCTCTATAAATAGCGTATTATAATACAATTTTCACAACATATAGTATTTGCACAAATACTTTGAACTTATACAAAAATAGTTGTCATAAAAAAATTCTCAAATTTTGAGATATACGCATATATCGTCCTCACTCATACTAGGAAATCCTTACGGACTCTATACATGAATCCTAGGAAACTCTATCCTAGCTCCACGACTCGACACAGGATGATCCTAAGGATACTGGAACCTGGCTCTGATACCAACTGTGACACCCCTGGGTTCACACAAGGGTGTAGTCCAAGGTGAAACCAAGAATGTCAAACCTGCTATGCACCACACCGTGCAATAACATGTTTCACCATCATAATTAATATCTATCTAGTAGAGTCAACAATAGGTGTAGGTACAAAAGCAAGTAAAAGATAGTACAAGAAGTAACTGATGAAGTGAAAGTAATCCCATTAATATCTCATCATCCAACATACAGAAATACATAGTCAATATCCGAATAGATAACTGAAATACTCAACAAGTCTCAAATAAAAATATCCGACAAGATGGAAATAAGGCACACAACCTTTACAACTTCTAGAATAAGATTATCAAATGTCTAACAAAACTACAGTGGAGCTCCAAAATAAAACATAGCTAAAATAGACAGCTGAACACTAAAGTGTGTCGCCATCAACCTGCGACTCTCCGGGCTCCTGGCTCGTTACCTGAAAGGGGGAGGGACAATGAGCGTCAAAGCGCTAGCGAGTAACATCACAACCAACCCCAAGGGCACAGGGCTCGTTGTATAAGAAAATACAGTTAATACATAATAGATCTAAAATCATCGATCTTACTAAAGAAGATTTTAGTATTTAGAAATTTACAACACGAGCATAGGTACGTCGACCAAAATAATCCAAACAAGGAAACCCTTATGTATATACCTTGTATCTCAAGTTGTAAATCCCTAAACACTAAACCCGAGGTTCTAGTACAGGAAACAATAATAAAAGAAATACAACTAATCTCAGAACATAAATACATTGCCATGTCATAGCTTATATGAGCATCATGTTATAACTTACATGTATGTCATATTATAATCTACATAAGTGCCATGTCATAGCTTATATGAGCATCATGTTATAACTTACATGTATGTCATATTATAATCTACATAAGTGTCATGTCATAAACTCCTGTGAGAAAGTCATATACAGGGTTAAGAAATATGTTCGATACAGGAACTAAATACTGTGGTTTCCAAACACATGGAATAAGTGGCAAATGTCCAACACGAGGACTGAAATGGATTATAGTCCAACACGAGGACTTCTATGGATTATAGTCCAACACGAGGACTGTATAACTGTGAAAAGTATATGCAGACAGATATACATAATCTAAACTTGCACTTATCTCGGTGTACATGTCTAAACTGGTGTCAAAAGTTAACCTACATGTATAGATAAGTCATTAACATGATTAGCTAGGGTCAGGTTATCGAGGCGACCCTGAAAAACAACTCAAACAGATCAAGAATCTGTAAAACAGCTCATCAGTCGACTAATATGTCGACTGATGACGTCAGTCGACTCATATGTCGACTGATAAGGCTCAGGCATCACAGCCTCAGCTCACCAGTCGACTGACCAGTCGACTGAGAAGCTGAGAAAACAAAATCAGCCCGTCAGTCGACTGATCAGTCAACTGATGGCTGAAAATTTGCCCGTCGGTCGACTGATCAGTCGACCGATAAGCTGCAGAAACTCTGCACAGGTTATTTTTCACCCAAACTTTGATCCAAACTCATCTCCATCAATCCCAAGCATGAATAATACTGATATCAATATATTTGCACTAAACTGGAATGAAAGATCACATATAAACATTTATCAAAAATCCTTAAACACATAAAAACATGTTTAATACGTTTTGAAATCAATAAATCATGAAATAACTCTTGTCAAACGTTTTTCAGATCTAGATCTCTTTAGTAAAACATTGTTGGTCTTTTATAAACTAAGATGCTCAATACCTCACCTCATATGCCATAAAGATTTATTCTTTGTACTAAAAATACGTTTTTGGATAAATCAAAACTCATTAAAGTCAATAAATTCGGGTAAAAACAAATGGGGCAGAGTTGGGCGAGATGTTACTCGCCTCTGGGTGATGAACAACTCCTAGGTCTGAGAGAGTGTGGATCCCCTTGCTGCAATGTGAAGATTTCGCCGAAAATCCTCCAAGTTCTTCCCCAAATTACCAAGAGCAAGGCTAGGGTTTGAGATAGGGGAGAGTGGGCTAGGGTTTTCTCAGTTCTGAAGGTGAGGGGGGGTGATTTCGGGTGAGAGGGAATATATACGAACAGTTAAAGCCGACCCAAACCTGAACCAAAATCAAAACAGACCCGAAACCTAAAAACTGGAAATCAGCGTATCAGTCGACTGATGTGTCGACCGATACAGTCAGTCGACTGATGTGTTGACCGATACAGTCAGTCGACTGATGTGTCGACTTCTGGAAAAATTTTGTTTTTGTGCATGTTTTACTTATTTGCAAAACCAACGCACAAAACTCTACACCCATACTCTCATATCATCTCAAATAACTTGTTATCATGTACATCTATGACCTCAAGCTATTTATCATAAAAGAATTATTTATTTACTAATAATTCACATATATTTATATAAAAATTTACGGGGTTCTACAATGTAGTCCTCTGACCGATTCGTGTAGCGATATTAGATGCATGTAGAGAATTTGTGAACAGTCAGTTATCCGGTAATATGAGCGTTGACTTTGTGTAAGATGTAGAGCAGTGAGAATTTAGGATGGCTAGTACTCGACCCAGTTATAGTGTGCAGTTAGCCTTTTGATTATCATGTTTTACAGTGTTTTCGCATGTTGATTTTGTTAGTTTTCCAGTTACGTCCTTTTGTCATTTCTGTTATCGTGTCGTTTTCCGCTTAGGTTTTCGTTCGCTCTATTTGTTTTGTGGGATCTTGTCGTGTGCCATACACGCTAACGTACACCTATTTTCTCTGGTGTGCGTCAGACTTAGAGGAAGAATAGGTTCAGCTTGGAGATGTGCCAGAGCCAGGAAGTTCTTAGCAGGAGTGCCTAGAAGATAGAGTTGAAGAATAGGCCGAAGTTCAGTATCTTATCTTATTTGATGATCCTAGTTGTTTTTGTAGTCTCGTCCTTTCTATTTCTGTCGAACAATGTATTTTATATTTCTTCAGCATTCATTTATTCAGATATGTATAAGGGCATGTTGACACGAATATTATGTCTTGGATGATATTCACTTGTGATATGGATTATTTTATTCTGTGTTGTTCATTATATTCTCGCTATTGTGATCGAGGACTCGTGACTTTGCATTGTATTTATTTCTAGACGCTTAGCATATTAAGTTGAGGAGAAATGTTTTTTATTTATTCTCCTTCATCTAATATGTCGCGGGCTTGCTCCCGTTCTGATTCCCGGGTATTTTGAGAAGTGTGGCGTGACAGTCGACTAGATAACTTTTTAAACCACCTTTCAACTGATTCTCAAAGGCTTTTGATTACAAGTTAACAATATGGGAGAACCAGACTTGAATGTTCTCTTGTCTTATAGGATTTAGCATTTATGTGGCTAGCATCATAACTATTACTCTATTGAGACAAGAGAGAAATTAAATTTGGTAGACAAATAAAACCAATGAGATCTTGAGCCTGAAATTGGATGCATTACATATCCAATTATTATTTTCTTTTCTTGTGTGATATTCTTTAATGGTGTAGGATACTAGAACTTGCATTGAATCTCTTCAAGGCCACAAATAACTTTTGTATGCATAAAAGGTAATTGAGGCACATTTTTGTTTATAGTCCACTTTAGCCAAACAGCCTACCATGCACTATTGTTCCTTTTGATTAGCCCCTTTGAGCCAATGAGCCTAATTTTTATTGATTTAACCCACATATGTAACCTTCAAAACCCAATTGTATTCCTTACTCATTCCCTAAGCTAGTGGAGCATAATTTATGATATAACGGGTTATGTGAGTAATGAGGTATAAGCTTGGGAGTGTGAAAGTAGGTGTTTGCTTTCTTTTCATAATTCTTTCCAAAAAAACTTATTCAATTAAAAAAAAAAGATGAATAAAGTGTCCTCTTTATGGTGCATGTAATTATTGGTGTCAAAAGAATTCATTATGGCATACTAACACTATAAGAAATTACATCTTTAACGAAGGGATTTCCCTTCGTTAAAGAGCTGAAAACCTTCGTTATTGTATGATAACGACGGGGAAAAATCCCTTCGTCACTCGTCGTTGAAGCCCTCTTCGCTAAAGGGTCACGAAGGGATATACTACCCGTCGTTACAGAGTCTATAATGACGGAACATATTACCATCATTAATATTTATGACGGTAATTATCACCGTCGTTACCATCAGTAACGGGGATATTTTCCCATCGTTACCATCAGTGACGGGATATTTTCCCGTCGTTACCATCAGTGATGGGATATTTTCCCGTCGTTACCATTAGTTACGGGGATATTTTCCCATCATTGAAGACTAATTAATGACGGTTGGATACCATCATAAACGTCCACATAATGGGTAATTAGTAACCCATCAACGACGGTGCTTTCCCTTCGTTCATGAATAAAATACGGTTTATAAAACCGTCATTGTAGACTACAAATTTATAATATACATTAATAATAAATTTTCCACTCATAGGCAACTATCATATTATTCTCAACCAGACACTAAGATTCACAACAAAAACATATTAAAAATACCCAATAATGAATAAGAGGTAAAATAAAAATTCCATTCATTAATAACATCAATAAATAAAATTCCACCATCCTCAAATATTCAATACTAATAATAAGAGTTAATATCCTAATTGTTCCAAAGAAAAATACATGAAACTATCTAAAACAAATTAAAATAAAAGTTTGGGGAAGACACATCTCTGACACCTCTAATCATCGTCAAAAGAAGACTCGAGCTACCCCCTCCTAATCTTGCATGGATAGCCTAAAAAATTAAAAAAAAATCACATAATTAAGAAATATCAATTAAGCAAATATTATCTTATTAAGTAAAAAATCACATTTTTTTAGTGAAAGTAGTCAATCATAAAAGTATATAAGAGATTTTACAAAAAATAATTACCTAGTCCTGCACATGTTCTCGAGTTTGAGGAGTCAATGAAGGTGATTGCCTAAAAAAAAGTTCTTGCATAGCTTTCACTTGTGACTCCAACTCAGACATCCTTTATTGTTGTTGCTCCTGCTCATCTAAGTGTTGTTGAAGTATCTGGTTCTTTCTCTTTTCTTCTATAACCCGTGCTTCCAGATCAGATCGACTAGGGAGAGGTCCTCTCAAATCTTTCAAAGTAGTCCCACCACCAAATACAGTAATGTGACTATGAGATTGCTTCCCCCAGATTTTCTCAACTATCTCAATGTCAGAAAGTGAAGGGTTTGCTTGTTTGACTTGAACAATTTCATCCTATAAAAATTAAATTCATATGTTAGTACTATATAATGCATCATTATCAAACTTAAACACATATTCTACTTACATATTTATCTTGATCCCCATTTTCTAGTGTTTCATTAGCTTTCTTTCGAGTTTCATGAAACATTTTTGCCACATCAGGTGGATTTCCTTACTTGCCACCCTTATTCAAATATTAAATAAAAATGAGTACAACATCAAACTAAAAAACAAAGTAGTTATAAATAAATAAGAAATTAGTTTTGAATGTATACCAATTCCCACGCAATTTGTCTAAAGGATTTGCTGCCCGTGTGGTGGAGCATCTTTCGTTTGCCTCTGTTAAGTGTATTTTGTTGGCTTGCTTTCTATACATCAAGATTAAAAGATAATTTCAACAATCCAACAATATACATGGAACAAAATTAATAAAATTAGGAGATTAATACCTAAAATTTTGAAGAAAAATAATATTCCTTAACTAGCCAATCTCAGTCATCAACACTCACTTCTGTAGGTTTATTTCTAAGTGCAACTTGCAATAAATTTTCTTTCACATATTTCCTGTGCATGTCACCACGCCACTTATTCCACAAATCGCGCAAGTGTCTCATTACTAACTCTCTCTTTTGCTCCATGTCCTCAGCATCAAATTTATCCTATATCAAATTTGAATCAAAATTTAATTTATAAGAATTAAAAACCAATTGCAAAAAATTAATTTTCAATGTACCTTAATGGATGCCCACATATGATCTTTATTTTATTGTGGTATTTTGGCCTAATTCTCAACAGCTACTGGGCAAATAGTTCTATCACGAATAATAATTCCAAGATATCGTGAAAATTCTGGCTCAATAGCTCTATTATAATAAAAAGTAATGATCTTTTTCTCCCCATGTGACAAATTATTCAACTTTAGACACTTATTATTACCACGAGGTGGATTTTTCTTCTTATGAGAATTATCAGCTGCATACATCATATCATATGTTAGAAACAAGATATAGGTAAAAAAATTTGATAAAAATATTACTTCTTGTAATTAATAAAGAATATACCTTCTTGTCGAGATTCATTTAGTATTACATCATCACTTTGCACTCGATGATTATTTGATTCTGCAAAAAATTGGGCAATTATTAATCCAATCATAAAAAATAAATTGAAAGATAAAAAAGAAATAATAATAAATTTTAAGTCTCATCACCTGCAGAATCATCATTCTCTTCATTGTTAGTATTTGCACTTCTCCTGCGATTTTGTGCAAAATTCTCCTCTTTAAAGTTTTCTGAATCAGCACTAAAATTTGTACCCATATTTTGATCTTGTATTGGATTTTGAATATTCAAGTTCTTGTCATGACTAGTACGGAGTTGTTCCCTTTTTAATGAATTTTCTGCAAGTGCTTGAAGTCGCTTCCTAATTAATGACCTGGGTGCTAGAAATTGTGCCCTTTTGCTTTAGGAAGTGACTTCTTGTGTTTTCATTTTGCTGCTATGAATAGGAATTTAAGTATCATACACTATGTATAAAACAAATGTCAAAAGAGAAATGAATAAAAGAAAAAGAAATCCCTAAGGACAAGCATAATAATAAATACATAATACACTAATGTAGAAGCACTTGCTGCAATGTCAAAGCCACATCCAAAATATGAAGAAAAGAACATCATATGTCTAAAAAAGGAATAGTTATAGTGAAGATACAACTTAAAATTTATCTCAATAACACAATATATTTGTGTTCTATTCTTTAATTAAAGCGTTCTAATTCTCTGCTTGAGTCTTTTTCCTCTTTTTTGAAGTTGAGACCGAATTTACAATAATTAGATCAATATCATTCCTTCTCAAATTGATATAATCATCTTCCAATGACGTTGATGCAATAGCCTGAGCATCAAATGATTCATCTTGCAAATAAGCTTCAACTCCATCGTCTGTTATCTCACAATCATCTGTATATAGTGGCATATCATAAGAATCACGAGGTTGTGCTTTAAGAACTACATGCCAACCTTCATTGGCAATATCCTCAACATAAAAAACTTGTGATGCTTGGCCAGCAAGTATAAAGTGGTCATTCGTCTTTAGCAAGTGTCGGCAGTTAATACTGATAAATCCATATTTGTCTTCTTTCAAAGCGGTCCCTTTTCCTTTGCCGTGCACATCCCACCATTTACAACGAAATAGAACAACCTTTCTTCTACCAGGATACTCTAATTCGACAACTTCAACCAAAGCACCATAATAATCTATATCTCCACCATCACCAGCATCACCAACAACTGCAACCCCACTATTTTGAGTTGACAAACAATTATCTCGACTTTCTATATGAAATCGATGTCCATTTATGACAAATCCAGTAAAACTTTTAACAATCTTACTTGGACCACGAGATAGTGAAACTAAGTCATCATCTTCTCGATAACTCTGATAAACCTAAACAAAACCAAAATATGATCAAGTCATGGAACATGTAATAAAATGAACCAATCAAGATATTTAAAAAATAAGGCAAGATATATACGTACTAGAGCTTGGAACCACTCGATAAAGTTCTTATCCCAATCTTTATCATCATAGTGATTTGTGGGTTCTCTCACGAATTCATTGTAGTCCCTATATTAAAATATCATAAATATGATTAACGTTGACTAACTATAGTAAATTTATTAGTAGAATCTTAAACTTTAGTGACTTACTCAATGTGTGGTTGCACTTCATCACAGTTCTTTAGAACATAAATATGAGCTTGCAACCACTCACGTTCATCAAGGTAGCGGGTGGTGGCAGCACCCAATGCCCGCCCACTATGTCTGAAAATAGATAGTTGTGCTTCATTACATTCTCTATTGTCATCTTCATAATTTCTTTCAAGGCGATTAAACTTTGTCTCAAAGCCTTTTAGATATCTTGAGCAAAAAGTCATGCATTCATCTACTATATATCATTCACCAATTGACCCTTCTGAACGTGCCCTATTTCTGATATATGACTTATAAGTATAAAGCTGACGCTCCACTGGGTACATCCATCGAAATCGAACAGGCCCTCCAAGTATGGCTTCAGATGCTAAATGAACTACTAAATGCAGCATAACATCAAAAATTGAAGGTGGAAAAATCTTCTCAAGCTTACATAACATAAGTGGAATCTGCTCATCAATTTGCTTAAGTTCATTCATCCTTAATGTCTTGGCACATAATATAGTGAAGAATATGGAAAGTTCAATAATTGGTTCACACACTTTTGCATGAAGAAGGCCACGAATCGATACAGGAATCAAGCGCTGCAAAAGAATGTGACAGTCATGACTCTTTAACCCCAAAATCTTACGCTCTTTAAGGTTTACACATTGAGAAATATTGGATGAAAATCCATCTGGAACTTTTAACTCCTTTAGAAATCGACAAAATTTGCTTTGCTCTTCTTGGGATAAAGTATAACAAGCTGCTGGCATCACAAGTTTATCTCCTCTCTGGATTGGATGTAACTCCGGTTTTAAACTCATTGCTTGTAAATCGAGACGGGCTTTGATATTATCCTTTGTCTTTCCTTTAATGTTCATGATTCTTCCCAGCAGACTATCACAAATATTCTTCTCAATATGCATGACATCTAAATTATGTCGCAATAAGAGAGTTATCCAATATGGCAAATCAAAAAAAAAATACTTTTTTATTCCAATTATCTCCCCGTCTTTCGTGTGATATTTTAATTTTCTTCTCTGGATGATTGGTCAAGGTGATCCCTATAAGATCTTCCACCTGCTTAAGGATGTCATCTCCGGTCAGCTTCGGCGCTGCATACCCTCTCTCCCTAGTGCCATCAAATGATTTCTTATCCTTTCTCCAACTGTGATTTTCATCAAGATAGCGACGATGCCCCATATAGCTCTGCTTGCCTCCATATTTTAACCTGATAGAGTGAGTGTGCTTATTACAACAAGGACATGCTAATTTCCCCTTAGTGCTCCATCCAGATAAATTTGCATAAGCAGGAAAATCATTAATAGTCCAAATTAGTGCTGCACGTAAAATAAAATTCTATCTTAGAGATACATCATATGTTCGAACGCCTGAGGCCCATAACTCCTTTAGTTCATCTATCAATGGTTGTAAGTAGGTGTCAATAGCATCTCCAGAACCAGTTGGACCAGGAATGAGCATAGATAAAATAAAATTGGATTGCTTCATGCATATCCATGGTGGTAAGTTATATGGTACAAGTAAAACAGGCCATATGCTATAAGAAACTTTTGAATTTGTGAAAGGCTGGAAACCATCACTTGCAAGACCGAGCCTAACATTTCGGGGCTCTTCGGTAAAGCTTTCATGTAGCTCATTAAAGTTTTTCCAAGCCTTAGAGTCAGCTGGATGCCTCATCACTCCGTCCTCAACTTGTCTTTCATGGTGCCATCTCATATCAGAAGCTGTCTTCGAAGACATGTAAAGCCTTTGCAATCGTGGCTTAAGAGGAAAATATCGCAATGTCTTTTGTGGTATTTTTTTTACCATTTGCCTTTCGCTTGATCTCTTTTCCATGTTTATCAAGTTTCCATCTAGAAGCACCACATCTCTGACACGTATCAAGACCTTCTTCACTTTTCCAAAACAGCATGCAAGAGAATGGACACGAATCAATTTTTTCATATGATAGGCCAAGGTCTCGGATTAATTTTTTTGCCTCGTCATACAAATTAGGCAGTGTTGATTCCCCTGGCAATAGATCCTCATTCAAAAACTGGAGCAACATTGAGAATGATTTATTACTCCACCTATTTAGGCTCTTTATGTGAAGTAGTTTCACTAAAGCAGATAACTTTGAACATTTAGAGCCTTCATACAAAGGTTTCTCGGAGTCACCTAAAAGACTGTAGAATTTTTTTGCATGTCCATCTGGTTCCTGCTCAAGAATATCCTGACTCGACGTGGCATCAGGTGCAACAACGTCAGTTGAATTATGAAATAAATCTCCAATCATTTCTTGCATTTCATCGTCACTCTGTCTTTCTTCTGTCATTTCTTCTTGTTCTTCATCAAACTCCGATATGGACTCACCCTGTCTTTCACCATGATGACACCAAAATCTGTAGTTTTTAATAATTCCATGAACAATCAAGTGGGTCTTTACTGACTCACGACTGTAGTTTTTAATAATTCCATGAACAATCAAGTGGGTCTTTACTGACTCACGATTACCAGACTTCACAGTGCTGCATTTAACACATGGACATCGAATTTCAAAGTTGCCATTCTTTTGATTGAAACCATTAAACAGCTTCTCATATGCATAGTCTAAAAACTTATCAACCCCTTCTACATATTTTAGATCAAGTCTATCATCATCTACTAGGTCCATCCAATATTTATTCGGTGCCATTTCCAAGCAATGTACTAATGCTGGATATTCGACTCTATAAAACAAAACAAAAAAAACAATATAATTAGTTTATAATTAGATTGTGGTTCAATAAATATCGACTATATTTTATTTGTACAAACAAGCATTGTATATATTTGCAAATATCCCCTCCAAAGCATCATTTTACTAATTTGCCCTCTAAATTGTCTTTTCCATTTAAGCTTATGTCTCAATTTGAACGAATATTTAATGACCAAGCAAATCCAAAATACATTTAGTTAATTTCAATTTGTTTATGAACTGAATAACTAATAGCTATGCATTTACTGTCAAATGAGATAGCGAATCAAATATGATCGAATAGCTGAATGAATAATAAGTAAACTGTTTATTGATTAATTGGTTCACTTTCATCTTTATTATCCTATCCGATGTAGGATTATACTCACATATTAATAACCACAACACTCCCACTTGTAAAGCATAATTATTAGTAAAATTTATATTATGAAACTAAACCATATTTTTTATTAAATTGATAAATATATATGGCATGAAATCAGCCAAGGGTTGTTACATTTGGGCCCGTATCTCAAGTGAGCTTTATTTTCGAGGGTCAAACTTTAGGCCAGCCCAGAGAACCAAATAAATATTAATTATTCCTGTACTAGACAATGGTAGACAGAATGGACATGCATATGCTAATTTTAAATTAGGCAATACGAAGCAATCAACACAAGTTTCACTAGGGTAGAAAAAACAGGTCTCTGGGGACAAGTAGGATTACTGTAGCAAGTGACATAGTTGTTTCTTTTCGGAGGTGCTATCATTAGTTCAAACATGAGTTTCTTTCAATTGTTGATGTAATGATAGTTCAAATGTTAAAAAGTCGAAAGA